AGCTCGGAGATCAGACGAGGTGGAGGGCTCGGGGGGGGGGGGGGTGGGGGCATGAGAGGTCACGGCAGGAGGTGAAGCTCAGGATGCATGGACGGTCATGGCGAGGAGGTGAAGCTCAGGGGCATGGAGGTCACAGCGGGAGGTGAAGCTCAGGGACATGGAGGTCGTGGTGGGAGGTGAGGGCTCGGGGACATGGAGGTCACAGCGGGAGGTGATAGGCTTGGAGGACATGGAGGTCACAGCGGAGGTGAGGCTCTGGGGACATGGACGGTCACAGCGGTGAGGTGAGGCTCGGGGACATGGAGGTCGTGGAGGGAGGTGAGGCTCGGGGACATGATGGAGGTCACAAGCGGGAGCTGAGGCTCGGGGGACATGGAGCGGTCACAGCGGGAGGTGAGGCTCGGGGACATGGAATTTGGGTCACGGCAGGAGGTGAGGCTCGGGGGGCCATGGAGGTCATGGCGAGAGGTGAAGCTCAGGGACATGGAGGTTACAGCGGGGAGGTGAAGCTTCAGGACATGGAGGACGTGGTGGGAGGTGAAAGCTCAGGGACACTGGAGGTCATTGGCGAGAGGTGAAGCTCATAGGGGTACATGGAGGGTCACAAGCGGGAGGTGAACGCTCAGGGGACATGGAGGGTCGTGGGGGAGGTGAGGCTCTTGGGGACATGGAGGTTCACTGGGGAGGTGAGGCTTGGGGGACATAGAGTCACAGCGGTGAGGTTGAGGTCGGGGACATGGAGGTCACACAGCGGATGGTGAGGCTCGGGGACATGGAGGTCACAACGGAGGTGAGGCGTCGGGGACATGGAGGTCACGGCAGGAGGTGAGGCTTCGGGGGCATGGAGGTCACGGCGGGAGGTAAGGGCTCCGGGAAACATGGAGGTCATGGCGGGGTGCGTGAGGCTCGGGGACATGGGAGGGTCACAGCGGCGAGCTGAGGATCGCTCACTTTATTAGGAATGTCTCATTAAACTGCCTCCTGCTCATAAAATCTGTCGGCAGGACTGTTTACATTGTGTCCTGGTGAGTGTTTTCACGTTCCCCTCCCCCCCTCGCTGTTACACCATTAAACAAGTTTTTTCTTGAGGGTGCAAATCTAAATAAATTAGGATTGGTTTTCATGGCGGCGGCGGGTCAGCGGTTCAGATCCGTTCTCCAGGGTGACGCTGAGACTTTTTATAGAGATCATTGGAATCACGTTTCGTTTTTTCCTTCGCGGCACCTCGTTCAATACTTGTCTGCAAGTTGTGAGAGGACGCGGTTTAAAGCTGACCTACAAGTAGCAGATTCCACATCAACGTTCTCCCTATCTGGATCCTTGCTGAAGGTGACTAGCGGACTCCATGTGACCAGGTGATGTGGCATCCCCCAAAGGGTGTGCAGTCTAAGGGCCAGTTGGTATCAGAGATCCCCCATGAAGGTTTGGGAATCAGTTATGTGCTGACCCCAGGTCATGACCGCTAGGTTCTCTCCTGCTCCAACATCTGAAGACTGACCTATCCAAGTAGAATCGGTAGGCTGAAGGAGAGTACTGACAAGCAGAGAACTGGGACAAGGCAGAAGGTCTGCAGATGCACCAAAGCCAGAAGGAAACAGAGCATGGGTCCAGGACATTGCATGCTGGTTTGCCGTGAACAAGACTAGCAGATGGGACCAGGCAGAAGAAGGGATGAACAGTGGCCATGGCCACGCACGCATAGGTTTGCCCTGATCCAACATCTGAAGACTGACCTATCCAAGTAGAATTCGGTAGGCTGAAGGAGCGTACTGAACAAGCAGAGAACTGGACAAGGCAGAAGGACTGCAGATGCCACCAAAGCCAGAAGGAACATGGGTCCAGAGCTGCTGGATGAATCAGCAGATCGACCAGGCAGCAGGACAGTGGACATGGTACGGTACACCCCTGGCAGGTGATAGTTCAGTCTTCACAGAGTGTCCCACAAGGAGTTGTGGGCCAAAAAAAGACCGACTTGCAGAAACTTTTTCTGCAAGTTGTGAAGGATGCGGTAAAGATGACATACAAGTAGCAGATTCCCCACATCAAAGTTTCCCCTATCTGGATCCTTTTTGAAGGTGACTAGTGGACCCACCATGTGACCAGAAGATGTGGGAATCTCCCTAGGGTGTGCAGTCTAAGGGACACCACACAACACCAAACCGCCAGTTGGTACCAGAGATCCCTCATGAAGGTTTGGAATCAGTTATGTGCTGACCCCAGGTCATGTACCACTATGTTGTCTCCCGGCGACATCCAACATGTGAAGACTGACCTATCCAAGTAGAATCGGTAGATCGAAGGAGAGTACTGAAACAAGCAGAGAAACTGGACAAGGCAGAAGGACTGCAGATGCCACCAAAGCCAGAAGGAATCATGGGTCCAGAGCATGCTGGATGAACAGCAGATCAGACTCAATCCAGGCAGAGAGGACAGTGGCCATGGTACGGTACATCCCTGGCAGGTGATAGTTCATCTTCACAGAGTACCCCACAATTAAGTTGTGGGCCAAAAAAAGACCGAATTCGCAGTAAATTTTTCTGCAAGTTGTGAAAGGACGCGGTAAAGTTGACCTACAAGTAGCAGATTCCACATCAAACTTCCCCTATCTGGATCCTTGTTGAAGGTGACTAGTGGACTCCCATGTGACCGGGTGATGTGGGATCCCCAGCGTGATGCAGTCTAAGGGCCAGTTGGTACCAGAAATCCCTCATGAAGGTTTGGAATCAGTTATGTGCTGACCTCAGGTCATGACCATATGTTCTCTCCCTGGCTCCAACATGTGAAGACTGACCTATCCAAGTAGAATCGGTAGGCTGAAGGAGAGTACTGAACAAGCAGAGAACTGGACAAGGCAGAAGGACTGCAGATGCCACCCAAAGCCAGAAGGAGAGCATGGGTCCAGAACCAACTGGATGAACAGCAGATGGGAACCAGGCAGCAGGACACTGGACATGGTACGGTACCCCCGGTCAGGCGATAGTTGCACAAGTTAGTCTTCACAGAGTAGCCCACAAGAAGTGGTGGGCCAAAGAAAGACCTAATTTTCTTTCCTACAACTGGCACCAGGTTAGGATCGTCCACCATGGGGATTGCTTGATAGGAGACTGTTCACATGGCAGAAGACAAGAAATTTGTTAGGTCAGGGTAGAGGTTGAGGCAGGTGGCAGGAAAAAAGAGTATTCAGGTCCATGCAAGGTTGGGGCAAACACGCCGCAGACAAGAGAGTAGTTAGGTCCAGTAGAGGTTCGGTCATGCTGAAAAACGAGAGAGTAGTCCGATCACAGGCACATAGTGATAGGCAGGCTTGTGGGCAAGAAAGTAGTCAGGTCCAGGCAGAAGCCAAAGTAGGCATCAGAACAAGAGAGCAATAAAGTCAGAGCAGAAAGTTTGGGGGTAGGTGACAGGGAAGAGAGTAGTCAGATCTAAGAGAGTCGAGACAAGTGCAGACAAGAGAGTAGTCAGGCCCAGGCAGAAGTCAAGGCAGGCAGCCAGACAAAAGAGTAGTCTGGTCCAGACTCTGTAAGGTCAAGGCAGGTGGCAGGAAAGAGAGCAGTTATGTCCCAGGCAGAAAAAAGGGTGGTCAAGAGAGTAGTCAGGCCCAGGCAAGGGTCAAAGCAGGCTGCAGGTAAGAGAATAGTCAGGTCCAGGCAGGAGTCAAGGCAGGCAGCAAACAAGAGAGCAGTGAAGTCAAAGCACAGGTTCGGCGATAGGTGACAGACAGGGGAAACAATAGTCAGGTCTAGGAGAGTTCGAGGCAGACACAGACAAGAATGTAGTCAGGTCCAGGCAGAAGTCAAGGCAGGCAGCAGACAGAGAGTAGTCAAGTCAAGGTAGAGGCTGAGGTAGGTGACAGACAAGAGAGTAGTCAGGTCCCAGGCAGAAGTCAAGGCAAGGCAGCAGACAAGAGTCTCGCAGTAAAGTCAGAGCAGGTTGGGGTAAGTGACAGGGAAGAGAGTAGTCAGATCTAAGAGAGGGAGGCAGGATGCAGGCGGAGAGGAGCCGATATAGTCCAGGCAGGGCGTCAAATGCAGGGAGGGTGAAGGAGACAAGGGAGTTTGGGATAACAGGGTGACCCTGGAAAACCTGAAAAACCCTGGAGGGTACTAAGGGTCCTTGGAATCCTTGAAGTCCTAGAGGTCCCATAGACCCAGGGTGGGGCAGGGATGGTAAGGATCTGTAAGTAATCTAACAGGATGACACACAAGCACACAAGAAACAGGATTGAGGAAAATAGAGGCGGGCCAGAGTACAGACTGGGGGTTGGGGAGGTGGCGGCGGGTACAAGCAATGTGCTTTGGGCATGTGAGTATGGTTTCCTTTTAAGGCTCTGTGTTCCTACTAGGGCGGGGGGGAGGGGACACATTAAGCGTTGCATGAAAGTACAGCCCATGGGTGGGGGTGACTACTTTGGTTCCGCGGCCTTTCCACGCACATGTACTTTAAGTGGAGGCCCTCCAGTCTTAGGGGATCCGTAGGGTATGCCAATATTGAGTTGGCCCGCCCTTTTCCACACACATGACCTTTAATGGCCCCCCAGTCTTAGTCCGTAGGGGTCAATATTTGAGTTGGCCCCGCCCTTTCCTTTTCACACACATGACCTTTAATGGCCCCCCCAAGTTTAGGGGTAGGGTTCAATATTGAGTTGGCCCCGCCCTTTGCAGCTATAACAGCTCAAGGCTTCTGGGGAAGGCCGGGTGAAGGTTTAGGAGGGTGAGGTGGGGGGCGATGGGAGTCCAGTGGCAGCGTGCTTGTAACCACGGCATCCGACGCTTTGCATTGAGTGAGAGGGGTGGTGGGCTGAGTGGCTGTTGTTCCCAGTTGCTTCCACTTTGTTATAATCTCCACTAACAGTTGGTGGGATATTTAGTAGCCAGGAAATGTCACGGATGGACTTATTGGCACAGGTAACCACCTATCACGGGACCACGCTTGGAGTCACTGAGCTCCGGAGAGCGACCCATTCTTTCACCAATGTTTGTAGGGGAGCCGTCTGCATGCCTAGGGGCTTGGATTGGTATACACCTGTGTCCATGGAGGGGATTGGAACGCCTGAATCAACATGACTGGGAGGGATTGGAACACCTGAATCACATGATATGGAGGGGATTGGAACACCTGAATCACATGATATGAAGAGGGATTGGAACACCTGAATCACATGATATGGAGGGGGATTGGAACACCTGAATCACATGATATGGAGGGGGATTGGAACACCTGAATCACATGATATGGAGGGGATTGGAACACCTGAATCACATGATATGGAGGGATTGGAACACCTGAATCTCATGATTGGGAGGGGATTGGAACACCTGAATCACATGATATGGAGGGGATTGGAACATCTGAATCACATGATATGGAGGTGATTGGAACACCAGAATCACATGATATGGAGGGGATTGGAACACCTGAATCACATGATTGGGAGGGGATCGGAACTCCTGGATCACATGATATGGGGGGGGATCGGAACACCTGAATCACATGATTGGGGAGGGGATTGGAACACCTGAATCACATGATATGGAGGGGATTGGAACACCCGAATCACATGATATGGAGGGGATTGGAACACCCGAATCACATGATATGGAGGGGATTGGAACACCTGAATCACATGATTGGGAGGGGATTGGAACACCTGAATCCAATGATTTGGAGGGGATTGGAACACCTGAATCCCATGATTTGGAGGGGATTGGAACACCTGAATCCCATGATATGGAGGGGATTGGAACACCTGAATCCCATGATATGGAGGGGATTGGAACACCTGAATCCCATGATATGGAGGGGATTGGAACACCTGAATCCCATGATATGGAGGGGATTGGAACACCTGAATCCCATGATATGGAGGGGATTGGAACACCTGAATCACATGATATGGAGGGGATTGGAACACTGGAATCACATAATATGGAGGGGGATTGGAACACCTGAATCCCATGATATGGAGGAGATTGGAACACCTGAATCACATGATATGGAGGGCGGGGCCAATACTTCCGGCAATATAGTGTAGCTTTGTGATCCTCCCCTCCCACGCTCCGTGGATCCAGATGACCGGCTGCTATTACTGTTTTGGGCCAGAAAACCCTCCTCTGTGCGCCCTCCTGAGACAAGTGTCACTTAGTTACATTTATATATATATATCAGGGAAGGGGGTGAGAGTTAATACCGCGGCCCAGCTGCCCCCGTCCCTCTGCCACCACCTGTTCCCCTCCCCCCCCCCTCTAATGAACCTTTATGAGATTATAGGCCTTCATATCTAAAATGATTGCATAAACAAAAATGCATTAAAATGGTGATACCTTAGAAGTGACCTAAGCCGGAGGAGCCGGGAGCAGCTGCGGGGCGCCCCCCCCCCCCCCCCGCCCCCTCACGGCGGTCAGCTGTCCCCTGTCACACACACATCTCCCCTGCAAATCCCCTCGATCACATTTCAGCAGTATCTCCCCCCCCCCTCGTCCTGGGGGGTATAATTAGTAATTAGAGAGAGGGAATGTGAGTAAGCCCTGCTCCCCACCCTGCGCACATTCCAGGCCTGTCCGTCAAAGGAGAGAACCCCCCCCAGTTCATGACGGACTCACCCCCCCCCCACCTTGGTATGGTCGCAAATCGACAATGTCCATCCAATGCCCGGTTCCCGACAATGATTGTTTCAGAGCGACGAATGTTTCCATTCTTTTTAGTATGTGGCATTTTGGCCCCGAAAAATATCATCGCTGGTGCTGATGTCATGGTTCAGGTGACAACAGTATTGTTAGGAAGGGGCCCTGGGATCCTCCAGGTTCGAGGGGCCCCAAACCCAAAACTAATCGTTATTCTTCACGTGGGATCCCATAGGGAGCTCAAGTCCTTAAATCCAGAGCCATTCGCTGCAATACTTCTATTCTGCCACAAGATGTCCTCAGTCTTCAAGGCTGGCTGACACCCATTGTAACTCACCCTAGAATGTAGGGTGTCGTGGACCCGCCCACTCAGCATCATCATGCAATCCCCTGTACAGCAGAGCTCAGAAAGGGAGAGTGGCAGTACAGAGGGGGGTGGGTTGGGGATCAGTGGCAGTGCTGAGGGTGGGGATTAGTTGACAGTTGAGGGGATCAGTGGGGGGTGCTGAGGGAGGGGGGGGCGGGGATCGGTGGCAGGGGGGGGGGGGCGTGGAATCAGTGGCAGTGCCTGGGGGTAGGGGGATAAATGGCAGTGCTAAGGGGGGTTGGATCAGTGGCAGTGCTGGGTTGGGGGTTGAGAATCAGTGGCAGTGGGGCGGGTGGGGGGGGCTAAATGGCAGTGCTGATGGGGGTTGGATCAGTGGCAGTGCTGAGGGAGGTGGGATCAGTGGCAGTGCTGAGGGAGGTGGGATCAGTGGCATTGGTGAGGGAGGTGAGATCAGTGGCAGTGCTGGGGGGGGGGATAAATGGCAGTGCTGGAAGGGGGGGGGTGGGGGATCAGTGGCAGTGCTGGGATGGGGGGTTGGATCAGTGGCAGTGCTGGGATGGGGCTGATGGTGGTATCAGTGGCAGTGCTGAGGGGGGTTGGGGCAACACAGTGAGACCTGATTTGTCCTGGGTGGGTATAATGGCAGGGTGCTTACAGGTTTTGTCCCTCCCCCAGCCTGTGGGAGGTGGACAGTGAAAGGAGAAGGAAGACTAATGAGGTCACTCTCTGGGGGGGGGGATCCTGAACTTGTTATAATTATTAGAAGTGGCAACATTTTATATTTCCCCAATTTCAGTCCAGTCTTGGGGGGGGGGGGGGGAAGGGGCCAAAATATCAGCATTCCCGGATCCCTGCTATTGGTCTAATAAAAACCATTGAAGGGATATCTGAATTATACGACATCTAGACAATCTCCTCTGACGCCCGGTCTGGAGGTCAGATCTCAGTGCTGGGGGGGTATTCTTCATATGGGCCCCAAATGGTTGAAAAATAAAAAAAACAAACACAGGCTGAGAGGGGTCTCCCCCGAACTCCAGAGCTGTCCCTTGCAGTACCTGCTTTTCTGCCAATAGATGTCGACGACCTTCTGGTTTGAATGACGCACCTATCATTGCCCAACCTGGGAAAGCTGAGGACATAGTGTGGCTCCCCCAGCATGTGATTGGACAGTGAAAGGAGAAGAAGGGTACAACATCTCTGTCACCCTGCTTCTCCTCCAGTCAGCATGGGGCGGGAGGGGGGGGGGATAAGTGCATTTAAGGTAAAAAACCTTCTCTGCTGCAGGTTACCCCCCAGGCCGCCCCCCCTTATATCTGGATTACCTGAGTATCTGATCCGGGAGCCCAGGTGCGGTGCAGGCAGAGATCTCAGGGCAATTGTTTTCTTCAATGGGAGCCATTGGCTCCCAGCTGGTTGGTAACGTTAGTGAAGAGCGGGGGGGTGGGGGTTGGGGATTCCAAGTGTCCACTGTTAGTGTCTCTTTACTGCAGTAGTGGGAGTGCTCCTTCTGGAACAACCTACTCAAGGTGCCCCCCATGGGAAGCTGAGGACGGGGTAGTGGTGGCCCCCCCAGATGTGAGGAGCCTGGAGCCAGTGGGGGGCCCGAGAAGACCTCTGGACCCTGCGTGAGGTTGGGTCTGCTCTGTGCAGCATGGGGGGGGAGTTAAAGAGGATGTTTTTGTTTTTTTTTTAATTTTCCTTCTGCAATCACTTTATTGAGATCAGGACAGGGGGTGATCATTGGCAGTGACTGGGGGGGGAGGCCGATGGGATCAGTGGGGGTGGTGGTGTGGTGGGGGGATGGGATCAGTGGCAGTGGGGGGGGGCGGTTAAAGGCCTCAGTGGTTGCTGGGGTGGGTGATGGGTTTAGTGGCAGTAGAGCTGGTGGGGGGATGGGTGTGCCAGAGCGGGGGGGCCCTCCCCTGGTGATTCTTTCCAGATGGCAGCAAGTGGGGAATGGAATCATTGGGGCAGATTGGGGTGGGGTGGGGGGGAATTGGACCCCGCTGGGTGGGGTGGGTGGGGGGGAAGGTTGGGAGGGAAGAGGGGGGGGGGGGGGGGGGGTGAAGTCACATGTTGGGGGAGGGGGTTGGGGGGGGGGGGCTGGGGAGGGGAGGCACTCACGGGCATGGGAGGGCTTCCGGGGTCAGTGGGGGCCCATGAGGCGCGAGGCCTGGTACCTTTTTATACCAGTGACGCCGGGGGTTGGGTGGGTGCTGATTGAGATGTGGGGAGCCATGGGCGGGGGCCTATTGCCCAGGGGCCCAGACATGAGTTGTTGTTGCCCTGTGGGAAAAGAGATATTTGGGGGGGGGGCATTTTGGGAGTGCTTTCCTGGTGGGATCACTGTTGGGAGATGGGTGGAGGGTTGGTGATCAGTGGGGGTACTGAAGGTTGATGGGCGATCAGTGGCAGGGTGGTGCTGGTGGGGGGGGTGGGAGTCAGTGGCAGTGCTGGGCTGGGGGGTGATGGGATCAGTGGCAGTGGTGGTGCTGGTGGGGTGGGATCAGTGGCATTGCTGGGGGGGGGGGGGGTTAATGGGATCAGTGGCATTGCTGGGGGTGTGGGGGGGGGGTTTAGTGGCAGTGCTGAGGGGTTGGGTATGCGTGATATTAGTGCTGGTGGGGGGGGTTGGGGTGATGAGTGGCAGTGCTGGGGGGGGTTGATGGGGAGATAGTGGCAGTAGATGTATGGGGCAATTGGGTGGGGTGGGATCAATGAACAGTTAAGGGGGAGGGGGGATCAGGGGGAGGAGTGGGGGGGGGGGATCAGTGGCAGTGCTGGGGGGGGGAGATAAGGGGGTAGGGGAAGTGCTAGGGAGGCTTGGATCAGTGGCAGTGGGTGGGGCATGAGGGAATCAGTGGCAGTGCTGGGGGGGGGGGGGGGGGGGAAAATGGCAGTGCTAAGGGGGGCTGGATCAGTGGCAGTGCTGGGGGGGGGGGGGGGTTGAGGATCAGTGGTAGCGCTGGGGGGGGGATAAAATGGCTAGTGCTGAGGGGGGTTGGGGATCATTGGCAGTGCTGGGGGGGGGGGGATCAGTGGCAGTGCTGGGAGGGGGGTGGGGATCAGTGGCAGTGCTGGGATGGGGGTGGGGATCAGTGGCAGTGCTGAGGGGACAGGATCATTGGCAGTGGTGGGGGATGGGAGCAACATGCAGGGGAGTTGTGAACTGGATGCATAGAGCCTAATGGGCACGTCAGAGCCTCTAATGAGTACTAATGCCCCTGGGAATGAGAGAGACATGAAGGGAAGGTGGCTTAACAGTGATGTGCAATGTGCTGCTTTCACATGATGACTGCTACGGTCTGTCCACTTTATGTGATTGGCAAACAATACCATATGCCCGCAGATAACATGTCTGTGTGATGTGGTTTGTCACTTCCATCTTTGAAGAACATCAGTAAAGTGTGGAAAATATAACTTTTGTGTGGACATGAATATAAAGGCTTATGGCCGGGACGTTGGTGCGAGGAGTTGGGCACAATATGGCGAAGTACTACCAGCAAGTGGGTCCCTGAACTCTCCGGGGAGAAGCAGTGGCATGGGTTCTTTGGCGCCAACTGTCAGGCAATCACAAGCCCCTTTATAAGCAGAGTCACCTTGGTGATGCTATATGGCAGTGATTTCCAAACTGCGGCCCGGGGGCACAATTCCTCCCAATGACACCCAATGACACCAATGTGGGGCACCAATTCCTCCAATGACACAACAATGGGGCACAATTCCCCCATGGGGCACCAATGATGGGGAACAATTACTCCCAATGACACCACAGATGGGGCG